GTAGCAGAAGAAAGGCTTCTTTGGTGCGGAACGACAAGAAGTGTCCAGCACATATAGAAACGGCTTCTCAGGGGATGAATTCGCCCACCAAGTGGCCCACACATTGCCGTTCACCATCGCGGCTCGCCCGGACGGTGGTTTTGGTGTTCCCCACCCTGGACCGCATTGGACTGCCAGAGCGGACACCTCCACCCTGGCCTTTCGTCCAAGCATTGAGACCGAGGCAGTGGCTTCTACCGAGTGTACGAACCTCAGACATTTGTTGCAGCGGCGGCTGGGGCGGTTTGCGACCCTCAAAATGCTTGGACCGGTTTCAGACGATGGTGTTTCTAATTAAATTCTATATATTGTTTCTACTAGCTTCTTGCTCCTAGTAGTGAGGCCAGGAGCCCCTAGTAGCGTCCTTGCTCCTAGTAGCGATGCCCTTTGCTCCATAGCTGTTTTGAATCGGGTATTGTTGTGCCTAGAATCCTAGAAGTCGCGAATGGCTGTGTAGAAGCACTCCATCCGTTCCCTGGCACTGTTCTTCTGGAGCATCCCATCGCTTCAGCTGGATGGATGTGCTTCGTCAGCTCGCCATTGAAGCATTCACTCGCCGCCCGAATGTCGTAGAAGAGGAAGTCGCTTTTGATCGCTTTTGCCTCAGCTTCAATAAACACAGACATTCACAGGCATAGGAAGACGAGGGGCATCCCTTCCAGCAATCTAAGTACCAGCTAATTGTGTTGTATATATTATGTTGTTGGAGGAGGGGGGCCCTACAACATGCCAGGGTTTAAGGGCTTTGGGGTAGTGCAGGAGATATTCTTTCGCTGCCAGGTCGAGGCTAATTGGACATCAGACCGTTCATTTCAGTACAGTTCTAAGCCTGCTGTGCCAAAGGAACAGCGTCGGCTTCAGGTCAATCCAATATCTTTGACTTGTTTCTATCGCTGCTTGGGAGTTGGGAGTTGACTCGTGTAGCTTCTGAATCCTTCTGAAACCGAAGTGATTTTGGCACCAAAGTGCGAGGTGCCATGCGGCTGACACGGGAGCTCTGAAGTCGATCATGATTGGATGCATGGCTTTCACGGTTTACAATGCAGGCGCGGGACAGTGAGCCGCAGTAGCACATGATGGTTGGCCAATCACATTTGGATAATAAATGGTGAACACTGATGGGATATAGAATAGTCATCAACCATGATGAAAGGACTTGACAACCCCTAGGGAAAGAACAGGCACTGAGAAGGATTTGGATTTTACACCACTTTGGATGACAGAGCTTGCAGTTCACAGCCTGAAGATGTCCGAAGTCACGTGATTAAAGAAGGTTGAACTGCTACAGTTGATCAATTGAGTTGAGATATCCAGACTGCCAGCTGCTGTTCTATGCTTTAGAGCTTTGACGTGTGAACTATCACAAAGTCATACCAAGTCTATATGTTATTCTGAATGGAGTGGTTCGTCCACCTTTGCGAACGCTGATGCTACCTTTTCGTCCATGGGTTAAAGTGTCATCCGAAGGCAGCAGTACTGTACGGTTTTCCAGTCCGTGAAAGATCGGAACTCAGGCGTCCACAACCCCTGGTGCAGTAGTGTATTGCAATGCTTGTTTTTTGACAATTCAATGTGGGAAGAACGTTCGACAAACCTGTTGAACTCTCCAGGCGAAGCTGTCTTTGAAGCAGGCATGGCAAAAAATGCGGGGCGAAATGCTGACGAGGTCCACGCTCGAGACAAACCATATAAATCTATATATTATAGATAACACAATGACATGTCCCAAACATGGAGCAAGATTGTGGGGCTGGATTAGCACGGGCCGCGAATCCATTGCAATGCTGTCTGCTGTCGGTGTGGCCGTGCAAATGATCGAGTCTGAGAGCGTACAACCCGAAAGCCCATAGTCTGGGTTGAGTCGAGGATGTACAGATCACCCTCCAACGGCCTGTGAGACCCCTGCCAGGCTGCTGTGCCCAATCCAAGAATCTCATTGGGCGAACGGACATGCAAAAACCTAGAGATCCCCGTTCGGGCCGACACTCAACCGAATGCAGGGGAGGAGGCATCTGCGGCCTTCATTGTCGAGCGAGGCGCCTTCATGTCGCATTGAGTCTTCAGGAGTGTTGAGTCAAATAGCCAGTCAATTGTGTGTCGCCTCCACAGCGGCTTTGGGGGTGCCAATCCAAGCACAAGCAGTTCATGCCCGGATGCTGGTAGAGTTGTGGCAAGCCAGAGCCAACCATGCTAATGTTTTCTTCACGTTTCGGTGTTGATTTGACGGAGAGAGTTCAGGAACCATGTGGAGAGAGGTGGAGTTTTTGGCGCAAAGGAAAGACATGAAGACATGGCATCCTCACACACACATGTTGGAGACCCTCTTAAAGGATCTTAAAGGTCTTTGGTTGATGGATGTTGCATGGTGTTGCCAAACTTCGAGAAGCAACCACTAGTTGGAGAAGTGTACCTTCATCCCTGCCTTTGTGGGTCCTATGCATTCCAATCAAGAGCTTGCGACAACCTAGAGATGTTGTCAAGGTTTGACGTTAGGGTATGCAAGAAAACATTGGCTTTATGCATGCATGTTATTGCTTGTTGCCAGAGATAATGGGTTGATGCTTGTTCAACTGACACCGTGGTCCACCAATGCTGGCTGTCCAGGCGCCTTGGAATACTCTCAGAACAAGAAGACCTCAAAGGTCAAGAAGAAGCATCGAGCAAGAGCCTGAGACAGTTTTTGGAATGTCATGGAACGTCTTAGATTTGGCGTTTTCAGAAAGCGATGCCTCAACATTGTCCTAAGAGTGTGTGTGTGTGCCCTTATGACTATTGAACTGTAATACTGGCCAGTCTTTTCCCAAGGTTACCACGCACAACGAGGTCATCATTGCAGAACCCGCGATATGGACACCCAGAGCGCACAACAATCCCCTATCTACTTGTGTGGACCTACAATCCTCCATGATAGCATGCCGGCACCTGACCCCTCCACGGGTTCTATGGATCAATTTTTGAGACCTAGATTGATGCAGCTTCCTGCATCTCACCCACCGGACTCGTATCGAGAGAAAAGAGAGATGCTCGGGCCGCCGTGAGCAGCGCGCTGCCCAGCCCTCTCGTGGGAGTGTGGGCAGCACGTGACTAAGGACACATTGGCAGCACGTGGGCACCCTGGTGAGTCCGAATACCACTTCCCTTCTGAAAATCAATGTCTCTCGGCCACCGTCCTGGTCCGGATGTTCCATCTGGGGCATCGGAGGTTCCACAAGTCCGAATGTTTAAAAATACCTATTATGACGGAATGTTTTGCTCATGTGCACGCACCATCATTGATGCAGGGATGCACAATATCCACAGGTGTCAAGACAGAAGAGTTAGGTGGAGGGACTCGTTTTTTCTTTTAGCCGCTGCCGCGGCCTGGCCTCGGCCAGAACCCCACAAACCCGCGTGGATGGTCTTGGTGTCCTAGTGGTCCTCCCAGTTGACTTAGTAGCAGCAGTAGCAGTAGCACTAGCAGCAGCAGCAGTAGCAGTAGGAGCAGTAGCAGTAGCAGTAGCAGTAGTAGCAGTAGGAGTAGTAGTAGTAGTAGTCGTCGTAGTAGTAGTAGTAGTAAGAGTAGGAGTGGGAGTGGGAGTGAGAGTGGGAGTAGAAGTAGCAGCGGCAGCAGCGGCAGCAGCGGTAGCAGTAATCGTAGTTGTAGCCGTAGTTGTAGCCGTCTTTCTGACAGTGTGGCAGCGGGAGGAGAAGTAGGAGAAGTAGGACGAGGTCATCCTCAGATTGTCACGAGTTCCCCCTTCGTGGCCCGTTGGTGCTTGGCCATGCATTTTCGACCTCCCTCGCCATGCAGGTCGAGAAGCATGAAAAGATCATTCGGCAGCAGGCGCCTTGGCACACAAGGACTCTCCAAGCTGCCTCCTGAGAGGGTATCCGGTATAAGTTATATAAGACATTATAGTCAGGGTTTTCACATGTTTTCACATCTTGGGACATTTCCGGTAGGCCGTGGTCGGAAGTGGGACTGGGTACAAATTGGGCTAGATCCAAACAAGAACAGACCATTGCTATATGTAAATATCCTTACTGTAGTTGTTTCCCGAGATAGCACTTGAGACCGACAGGCCAACCATATGGTTTTGCTTCTGATGGATATATAGTTAGCAAGTGCGGGCTTGGAGGTTTGCCAGCCAAGACAGTGCAGCCCTTCTCTGCATCTAGCTATGCGTTGTGGCAGATGGCCAGGGCGTAGGGTTCAGATTTCTCAGTTCAGTGGGATCCCCACAAGGCCATGAGCGAACTGTTCAAAGGATTCCACAGTGGCGGAATTCTGACTGAGGAGATCATGAGTGACTTTGCTGGAGAATTTGCCATGCAGTACAGGCATGACGACACCGGCAGTTTGTCGAAACGGGTCCGTTGCATCTCCCTGAAGCTGCAAACCGTCTCACTTGATTCAAGCGAAAGATCAAGCTAGGTAGGAGATCGGGCCAACGACTTCTGAGGTATAAGTGGAGCGAAGTTTCCTTGGGAAGCACGTGCCTGAATGTTTGAAGGCAAGATGATGGTCTTGGTGAACAAGGTTTTCGAATCTAGCCTGACAAGGTTCCCCTCAAGAGCATCTTGGGGCCCCAAACTGCTCAAACCGGGTTCGTAGAGCACATTTAATAGTCTCATTCAGTTTCTTTCGGAGTAATTCACGTTCATACTCCATAGAGAGCTGAGCCACCTGAGGGGTTTGTCCTTGGCCCCGTCTTTGTGGAATTGGGATCGAAGCTGTGGACGGCCTCGCATGAAAAGCGTGCTTGGCTGAACTCAGATTTGCATCTCTCATAGACAGGCCGATGCAGATGGAGCCCCAAAAAAGCATGAAGACATAACCGTTCCTTTCACTCTAAGCCTAAGCAATATGTTGGACGCACATCATATGTCAGACTATTTAACATTGTGACCAGACAATGCGGCAAAGGCCTCCCCGACTCCACACTCCACACGGCCTTGTCGCAGCCGGCCCAGCTGCTGCCATGTCCTTCGAACCCATCCAACGGCGGCGGGTTCAGCCGCGTCAGAAGGAGATCACCAATCTGAAGCTCCTCACGCTTGGTGACAGCGGCGCCACAGACGCAAACTAACACCAACCCAGTTCAGTGAAAGACCATTCTGGACCATCTGAATGCCACAAACTCCCAAACAATGATGTCTTTCAAGTCAGCTGCAGGGTATCGGCCTGCTTGGATACTTAAGCTTTGGAAGTTGGTCTTCGGGCCGGTCACCCGAACTCGGCACACTGACCGGCACCGGTGTGCCAGCTGCGCTAGTGTAGATGCACAACGGAAAGATAAGTGACCTCGACAAAAGTTGGAAGTGGAAGACGTCTCGCTTCACAAGATTTTACAAGTGGTGAGTCCTCACATGGAAGTGAACCGTCACCTTGTGGGCTCCTGGCCTTACTACTAGGAGCAGGGACGCGACTAGGGGCTCCTGGCCATACTACTTGCAAGAAGCTACTAGGAGCAAGGGCATCGCTCTACTACTAGGAGGAAGGGGGCTTTCCGAAAGAGTGAGTTCCGGTGCATCCCCACATGTCGGTGCACCGTTCTGCCTGGCGATGTCGGCAGAACTGCAGAGCTTCCGCACGCGCCCCAGGCGTGGGCAAATCGATGCTGGTGAATGCCTTTCTGGCCGAGGGTGAGTTGCCGGAGGGGGATGCTCCCACCGTCGGCGCAGACTTCAAAGTGAGGATGCTGAAGCATGCTGGCAAGGACTGGGAGGAATCAGAATTGTATGATTCGCTTGTCCATGTCTATGGCACATGTTGGGAGATATCGAGAGGCATACGCGTGCCGCATAGCGGTTAGCGTAGGAGCACCATAGGATGCTCGCGCATTTAGTCTTGAGATACATTGAGTATCTCAGTGCAACAATCTACGTGCCAGTTGATTTCCCGTTTCGCCCTTGGAAGGACTACCGGGTGAACGTCTGGGACACCAGCGGCGATCTGAAATTCCTCGATGTGAGGAATGAGTTTTACAAAGAAGCTCAGGGTGTGATCTTGGTCCCTTGGTCTTGAGTCTCCAATGTGAGTCGTTTTTCCTTCCCACCCACCCTATCTAGTTCTTCCCCCCGGCCTCCCCGGCGGGACGGCTATAGGGCCATGCATAGGATGTCGCAGCAAGAAGCGAAGGACGCAACATCAATGAAGAACTATGAGAACTCTCCAAACTCCCACGTGAATCCTCACTCTCTCTCTCTCTCCCTTTGTTTGAGAAACCTTTTCCTATCTCCCCGCGTGCACCTTCCCAATCCTTCTTTTTGCGCAGTGGACACCCAAGGTCTTCGACATCACCAGCCGTCGGTCCTTCCAAAACTTGGAGAAGTGGATGGATGAAGTGGCGAAGTATGCTCAGGGCAGTGAGCCCAGCTACGCACTGGTGGGCAACAAGATCGACCTCCACACACGTCTCGTACAGGAACAGGCACGACAGTAATATCGCCCCTGTTGCCAAGGGCACACTCAAATTCAAGAGCTTTGAGATCACCATAGATTCATAGATAAACTCCCAAAGCCGAATTGTACACATTTTTCAGCCATACACAGACCAAGTAGGGAGATTCCCTGTGAACCACCGGGGCACTCGCTGGGACGCCGGCGTGCCCAGGTGGCCAGAGACTGGGCCAAGAGCCACGGCATGCCGTACTTCGAGGTCTCAGGCGGGCCTGAAACATGTTTCAACGAAGCAGATCCTGCACATATACAATCATTTGCATATGTATATATATATATATATTTATAATATATATATATATAATGAATGTTAATGTGTATAATGTCATTGTTTTATATATTGTTGTGTATGTTGTAAAGGATCTGCCGTAAAGTTAAATGCCGTATATGTATGTATGTATGTATGTATGTATGTATGTATTATTTTACATATGTATAAATAGTTGTAAACTGTTACTGTTTTAGATGTACTAATCTCAAACGTTCAAGATAGCTACTCAAGATGGATTCATAAATAAATGGATATGCAAAACACAACACTATATTATGTAATATGCACTGTATACAGGTGCTCAAGCCTGCTCAAAATCAGCTCTGTGACAGCCGTGCTTTTGGTCTGCGCCCACGAGGTGCCCAGGGTCGAAACGTGGAGATGGTCTTTAAAGAGCTTGCCAGCCGCCTGGGCTGAGCGTGTTTGAACAAGCTGTGCTGACCGCAAAAGCAGCCAAAAAAGCAGCGGCGCAGTGGTGGCGCAACAGTACAGCCTGTTCCGCCCAACGAGGGAGAAAGTATGAGTATAGCCTTTTAAAAAATTGGTGCCCTTCGCTCCCCATATTTAAGGGTTGCCGTCTTGACCCAGGGGGTAAACCAAGTGGGTGTGCTTCTGCTCCGAAAGAGCTATGCTTCCGGATTCCTGTGTTAGCCTTCCTAGTGCCCTAGCATAGTATGACATGAGTTACGACATGAATATACAGACAAAAAGCATTTGGGCCAAGCAAATGCAGCCAAGCCTTGCCGAATCCACCCAGAAACTGCCAGGCTACAGTCGCATATAGTGTCACCCCCTGCAAGCTGCTGGAAACAAGAGGTTCATGTGCTAAGCACGGGACGGTCAGGATCCGCCTGGCTGGTGCCAGTCCGCCAAAGGTGGGGTGGATCGTTTGGGAGAGGGGACTGGGATTTGCAGGATGGAGTGGATCTGGGAAATCTCTGGGAGAGAGGCTACGCTTGAAAAGTAAGGAATTGGATGGAGTTGTTTTTTAACAGTCTCTAGGGACACTTGAGGAGTCCGGGAGAGATGATGGTTGGTCGTTCGTTGTGAATTTTCAGGGCCCCAGATCGTGTTAAACCTTCAGAATTCGTTCCTGCATGATGGCGCAGAGATTCACACCATTCAAATCCATCCAACATGACAATCAATGTTAAGTCCTACCTGATAGGCACCAGGATGTGTGACTTAGGGTAACCCTCAACAGAACATGTAGTTGCTTGCTGTTCAACATGTTTATCATGTTTGCTGGATCAGACTATATCAGACTCCTTCAGATTCTTCCTTGTCTTTGTTTCGGCAACGCGCACGGGCCGCACCTTATTCAGGATGCCGTAGGATCCCAACAGTTCCCAATGCCGTAGCGAAATGGGCGGCGGCATCAGGCGAATTGGCCCAGCGACATTGAGGTGCCGTAGCTTGGGCGACGAATGGGCCGCAGGGCGCGGGGAGGAGTTCAGAGTGCCAAACCAAAGGGGCCTGCTCTACCTTGGTCTAGCCAAAAAGGCGAACTTGAAAGGAGCTGGGCTTGGAAAGCGCATGGTGAAACGCGAGAACAGCTGGATTCTGCTGTCGCACGGGACGGCAGCCTCACTAAGGCACACCACTTTCGATGAGGTCATTGTCAACTCCTCACGGGAAACGAGGCCTGATGCCCATCATGCCGCTTTGGTTCCGCAACGATCTCGTCCATCGGAACAGCAGACCCAGTTTTGGGTCCCAACAGGTCGGCACAGAGGGACCTGCACGGCATCAGGCCACATACACCAGGTATTCTGAGACCGCTATGCTGTCAGTACTAGACATGGCCCTGACGGCGTGTATGCCCACGCCTTGGAACCATCAAGCGTTCGGGCACTTCGCGCCTGGAAGTTCGGTGCACGTGTGTCGGCAGAGAGAGAGAGGGAGTGAGATTGCTTGTCTCTTTGGTGCACCATGGTGCACCATGGTGCACCTTGTGACTGGGCGGCTGTCACCCGACATCACCTGCGAATTTTTCGTCACTACGCAACTCATGGGGTTCGGAGGACGGCGGAGAACAGACACGGGCACACCAACCAGAAGCACCAACCTCCACCTGATGGGTGTACCTTTCAGATTTTTCCAGTTCTCTGGGATCGGCGGACGGACGAACTCCTGCACCATCATATTGTTTACTATATAATTGTTATATAGTACATAATATGCATATTTACAAACTTACACTGCCGTGATCTACCATGTAATTTCAAGGTAACGAGGTGGTTTGCCGACCTGTTTCCATGAATGGTTTCTGTCAGAGCCCGATGTCAAGGCGTTTGGTCAGCAACCTCGCGCTCGAAGTGCTCAAGGATCAGGCGGAAGTGGGTGGATCCAAGGCGTAGGGAATCACATGTAGATACCAACCGGTAGACATGGTGAATTGACTTGGGATTTAGAGGCGTTCATGTGTTGCATGGCCACACATGGCCTATGTTTACCTTCTGTTTCAAAGTGTTGGAGTCCAGTTTGGGCGAGAAACATCCACTCTTGACAAATCAGTGAGGACCTGTGATGTTTGGGAGGTGTCTGTGTCTATATGTGTATATAGATAAAGATGAGTAAATAGATAGATGGACGCATACTACTAACAGCATCACAACCAGAGGCACTCCTGAGTCCACAGACAATCTCGAAACAAACTTGGACCACTGCAGAGATGTATGTATTCCTTGCTTTTTCAGACTCCAACCACATATGGTGGCCACGAACAAGGTGCGGGTTGGTGGATGTTCCTAATCGGGCTCCCACGGCTTCGGCCGGCTCGCGAAAAACGCCACATGTTTGGTGTAGTGATTTTGGTATGTTTGGATGCCTCCTGAGCCGGACCTTCCTGTTTGGGTGCCCATCTTCGTGTAGGTTCGCGCACCTTTCATCCATCTTCGTGGTTCAATTGCACTGCGATGAGACCCTCCCTAAACCACACATCTGCGACTCATTGAAAGAATTGGTCATTTTCCTCCCGCCATGTTTCCTTAATGGCTTTGCCTTGGTTCATCTTGGTTCCATCCATCATTGGGCCAGGCTTCGTCAGCATGGGGACGGACGTGCCTTGGCCAGCACCAATCCTAGCCGCATGTCATGTCCAATGAAGTTAGAAAGGACTTTGGCACAGGTCCATTGCCCTAGACCAGAGTCTTGGCTACCTTTATTTCGCATAGGGTAGGACATCGTTTGCCGTGTTTGGAACAAAATCGGCCCGCTGAGATTTGGCAACCCGCCCAAGAACATTGAAGAACTGGAGCGGGAGGTGGCCAAGAACAAGCACCTTGGGCCAACACAGCACACATTGATTACATGTCACATGTGGCCTGCGACAGCACCAGAGCTGCCCTGGCGACAAGGCCAGCAGAACCAAGTGTGAATAGTTTGAGTGCGCAAATTGCCCTCAGGTGCACACTGATTACCACGCACAATGGAGAAGCTTAGCCGAAGTAGTCTCTAGCTGGTCAGGACCTTTTCAATTGATGGGGGGGCAGGGCTAGTTCCAAGTGGGCTTGATCCGGCTTCACAGAGTCGAACATTGGAAGACAAGGCCGATCTTTGGATTACCAGGCGCAAGCAGATCATGATTGAAGCCCCAAATCACGTTTTCCACCGGAAGATGATCGTGAGGGGTGAAGAACCATGACCAGCAAACAGTTGCATTATATTAAAAGATGCTTGGTACCATCAACCCTTGTTCTGGCCATCAATGCGCAGAGTGATGGGTCAAAGATTCCATCGTTGAAAACGCCATGGCCGCTCAGGATGTGGAGCGCTTGGCCGCGGTGTCCGCCATTGAAATCCGCAGATCCTCGACTGGAGAATGGTCTGTGACCTATTTTAGACTGAAACCTGAAGTGCAGTGACAGCATGTACCTGCTGGTTGCTGACTTGAAGGTGAGTGCTCGTGAATTGCATGATTGCAGGCGTTCCCTTTGAACCACCTTTGAGACGAGTCGGTTTTGGACGGAAAGACGCGCCACGTCACAGTCCACCGTGAGAGGGGTCCCTCTCAGCCATCTCCCTCGAGGACAAAACGGCATGGTGCTGATGCAGCTGGGCAGTTGGGCCACACGGCTGGGGAAGGCGACCGGAAGAACAGGAGGACCACTGAGAGCCCCAAAAACGTCAGCTGATGGTAGCGACCGGGTGTTTTTCGGAATGCTACACACAGATGATGGCATGTGGGGAAGCATTTCAAGCATTTCGGTTTAGAAAATGTGTTTGAACATCATTTCTATCCACTTGATGACCTCGAAACTCTTTCGCCAACAAATCGCCACAGTGGATTCTGAGTGGACTGAGTGGAAGGCGCAAACCCGTATGCAACCACCTCTTGAGGTTTGTGCCATTGGCACTGAAACCAGTGAATGGAAGTGGAACAGAACCATTTTTGCAGAGGAAGAGGAACTTCCAGGTGGCATGTTCTGTTCTAATTCAACTCTTGCTCAGCCATGGGACCAAAGCTGCTGTGTGCCAGGAATAGTGGCCAAAGCATGATATAAGAGGTCCAGACTTCCAAGCTTGGTTGTCATGGGTTCGCTTGTGCATCCTATATACTGTGTCGTTGGATCTTGAACCTCTTGGGGCAGGGAGCTTGGGGCCAATTACGGTGTGCAGACTGGCTTTGTTGAGCATGCAGGCGCCGACCACGTCTGAAAAGACACAGATTGAAGGCTATTGTATGAATGGTCACACCCAACACATGAACAATATTGTCACCCCTCATCCTGAAACTTTTTTGCTTCTGCCACCACCCATGCGTAAGATTCTGTGTCGGTAGAGTCCTGGTGTTTTGCGAAGCTGGCGCAGTGCTGGGGACATGCAGCATGAAAGTGAACAAGACCTGGAACTGGAAGCAGGGAACCCCAAAAAGGACTTGTGACAATGCCACATGCTCACTACAATGACCTCAGGGCACCTCAGAAACCGCCCGGGAGGCCCCGCAGTTTAGAGAGAGAGAGAGTTCCTTGGGTGTGGTGAGTGTCGCATCCACTCTCAGGATGCCTCAGAAGGGC